AACTCTGCCTTCTTTTTGTCCCTGGGACTGGAGTCCCCTCCTCCTCTCCACAGAGTATGTGAGGGGCAGGAACAGGTATAGGGCATGGGGCTGGCTTTCACTTGAGGACAATTGTTTGTCCTTTGCTTCAGTAACAGAATCAAGTGTGAGCCATCAACATATGAAACATGGAACAATTCCATCCTAAAGCCATCAGGTGGAGCTGAGCAAACTCAACCTCCATGCTGCCCAGGGAGAGGTGCGGCATGGATATCTCAATAGTCCAGTGTGAGGTGTTGAAACTTGGGAAGGCAAGGGCAGCCCAGCACCATATGCCGGGGTCGGAGTGGAGTGCGCAGGGTATCCCTGGTATGGGAGGGTGACGTGCAGGAGCCCAGGGGGGCCTCTGCACAGGAGGGTGGCCTGACTCAGCCAACTGGAGCTTGAGCGGGGAAGAGAGGGTACCCTTGCAGGAGGCTGCCTGGCACAGGGTGTCGGAGCTTAGCGCCGGGTGACAGATGCAGCTGCATGGCGGAGGTGCTGACAATGGGAGGCTGTTTATACACAGAGGGATTGGTCTAATATGTAAACATATTCAGAATAATAGGGTCCAGAGTTTTTACCCTCAGAGAAGTGAGTCACAAACATGGGAATGGGAAGGGCAATAGAAGCTAGATACTGTGGTGCTGGATTAGAAGAGGTCTCACATAAACTCATACTTGACAACACATACGGATGGAGATAGAAATGTATGTTATGTAAGTGCGTGTGTACACACACATTCTTTCCACTGAGACAGCCTGGGAGTATCAGCACCCTAAAATCAGTGAGCCCACCTAGCCCTGGGTCCTCATTTTTAGATGGAATCCACTAAATGGAATCTAGTCTCCTTGGGGAGATGGCTGGTTCCAGATCAGAGGTGTGGAAAGCACAAGATAAGCCAGAAACATTTGTGCCAGAAAATACGAAAGCTCACAAAAAGTGAAGGAGACACGTCAAAGGGCTTGGAAACCAGCTTGAGGATGCTACCTGTGACCAAATCAGGGACAATTTGAGTATCAAAATAGGTACTGATAATGGGAAATTAATGATGAGGAATGAAATGTTTACATGGTTTTAAAGCACTTCTCCCAGAAAATCTTACTAACTTGAAGAGAGAAAGAGTAGCTTTACCATGCAGAAGCCTAACAGACATCACTGAAACACAGAGTCAATTCTGTAAGTAGCCGGACAAATCAAAACTGCATGCCTCCTGCTAGTATGCAATGAGAGAACAGCGTGCGTCTGTGGCGTTCCCGCAGGATGCGTCACCTGAACTCAATTGTGAGGAAGAGTCATACAACCCAAACTTATCGGCATCCACAGGACACTGGCCAGTGATCTTTCAGTGTCGGAGGCCATGAAAATTGAGGAAAGCCTGTTCTGGCTTGACGGACACTAGAGACATGATGACTAAATGCAACGGGAGCTCTGGAACCAAATGCTTTTGCTATAAAGGATGTAATTGTAATGACGGCAGAATTTGACGAGGATCTGAGCTCTAGATAATGACCATGTACTCACGTTACAGAACCTCCGGATTCTGATGGTTGCCCTGTGGCTATATAAGAAAATGTTCTTGTTTGTGGGCAACGTGCATTAATGCTTTCAGGGATGATGGGCATCATGTCAACAACTTACTCTCAAATGGTTAAAACCTAATGCAGCTATATTTGCACCTTGTTTTTTGTAAATTAGAATGTTTCAGAGGTTACGAGAAAGAAAAGAAAAAGGAAAGGAAGGGGCATTTAAAAGGTTATCTGAGTCTGAGGCAGGGGAAAGGAGGTGGGGACCACCAAGTGTGAACCAGACGGGGTGATCAGGGGGTGCACAATTCTCTTTCCTGGGAGCTTTCAGAACCAGACTGCCCTCCTCCCAAAGGTCGGGGACCTCTCAGCTGCTGTTAGTCCCCTCCCACTATGGGTCTACCCCACACTCTGCTACCAATGGTGCAGGGCAGTAGCCCTCTGCAAGCCAGAGGAGATGAGCCCAGGGGGCTGCAGTTCTGGGCCCTAAGAGCTGGCAGCAACAGAGGCAGATGAAGAGTTAAGGGTTGGGCAGACCCTCCAAGGGCAGGAATTGCTGTGCATGGGAAACCCGTGCAGAGGTAGGGAAATTGTCTAGATCTTCTTTGAAAGCCTCTTAGAGCCCAGGGCTGACACTCAGTAACCCTGAGAAGAAATCTGATTCTGCCTCTATCGTAGTTTTCATTTTTAGGATTGACAGACACTCACTGAGCTTCCACATCAACTTTAGGAATGAGTACAGGAATGAGAGCTGAAACCAAAGGCTCTGCCCCATGTCTCCCATCCTCAGTTCCCACATCTGGTACATAGGAAACCACATGCCCTATTTCACGGAGTTAGGAAAAAGGGAGGTCAGGTGAAAACATGCAGATACCAGGCTGTGTCACCATTGTAGAGAACTGTCATTTTCTTTTTCCATCTTTAGTAGACAAGTAGAGAGGTCATCTCTCTGTCTTTCCTACCCAGCTCAAGTACTTTCCTGAGGGGCATACATAAGAGATCTGGCCCCCTAAGTGAACCAAGAGAGGTTGTACGCCAAGCCCCGGGTCAGTGGTATCTGAGCAACGTTTCTCCTTCTCTGGCTGGAAAGGGGCTTCTGGATCTCAGCTCTGCTCATGGCCCCGCAGATGTTGCTCATCCATTACCCTGGCCTTTTTCACTAGCACTCATCCACCTGTACCCCCTTCATTCCCTCACTTCTTTGTTCACTGAATTTAGACTTCATGGTCCATTACTGGTGTAACTCTGGCTCCTCCCTCCTTCTGTGTGTCCTCCCAGCAAAGCCCCTTTACAAGCAGCTCTCCCTCCACTTGTGCCCAGGCTGCTGAGCACAGTATGAGAACTGGGCTCACTGCATATCTATGTCCATGCACCTCTGACAAGCACTGACCTCTAACAAGTGCTGACTGCCCCCCAGCCATCCTCACTAGTGCAGCATGTTTGTTTTCTCTCCCTCCCTTCCTCTGAAAGTCCATTCTATTCCTTCTCATCTCCCTCCAACACATTTACACCCCTGCACTCCTGGTCTTTTCTGCCAATGACTGCCTCATTCTTCACTGAGAAAATGGAAGCAGTAAAGCAGGGACTTCCCACCACCAGCACACCTCCACCTGGACCCTCATGCCCCCCTTTCCCTCTGTTACTGTGGTTAAACTGTCTCTACTCCAAGAAAAAGACCAACCCTCTACCTGAGCTTTGCACCCCAGGACCTCCTACCTTCTCAAGGTCCTTGCTCCTGAATTTACTGTTTCTTCTACCTGCAAATTTGCTCTCTCTCTACTGGACCATTGAATCATACACACATATTTTCATATCTCCTATCCTTAAAAAAATAACTTACTTTCTTGAGCCCGCACCCCCCTGTAGGTACTATTCCATTTTTCTGTTCCCCATTACAGCAGTGAGGACTTATTTATAGTCTTTACTCCACAGCCTCTCCCTAACCTACTCTAGCTGGACTTTAGTCCCCACCTCTACACTCAATCTGCTCTTGTTAAGAGCACCAGCAACCTCCATGTAGCCTAATTCAACGGTCACTCTTCTGTTCTTATCCTACTTGAGCCCTTAGCATTCCCTATAGCTGATGACTTCCTACTTCCCTTGATTTCATGGTCCTCCTCTCTTCTGAATGTCCACCAGCTTCACTGAATGTATCTTCTCAGCCTCTCTGCTGGCCCGTTTCTTTCTGTAGCTATGCTTCATTCCTAAGTGACCTCATTGTGTAGCTTTAAATACCATCCGTATGCTTAGGACTCCCAAGTGTGTATGCCATGATCTGACTCTCCCTGGAACTCTAGACTTATGTATTCAAGTCTCATTCAACATGTCTACCTGGATATCTAAGGGTTTCTCAAACCTAACATGTGCAAGAGAGAACTCTGGACTTCTTTCTCCCTCCTGTCAACCCCATGACTCCTCTACCTCATCTTCCACCATCTAAAAGTTAGCCCTTGGCTAACTCAAGGCAAAAAAGTTAGCCCTTGCTCCTGTCTTTTCCCCATTCCCATATATGGTCCACCAGCAGGTTCTCTTGCCTCTATTTCCAAGCATAGCCCAGGGGGTCACCCTCTATTCCTCCAAGGTCACCACCTTAGTCCAGACCACAACACCTCTCCCTGGAGCACTGAAATAGCCTCAGACTTTGTCTGCCTACATTCTCCATAGAGAATGCTTTTCCTTTGTTTAAAAGTCTCAAAAGCCCCCCATCATCCTTAGAAATTTATTTTCTTTGTTTGCAAACCCTACATGATCTGGCCCCACTCAACACAGGGCCTAGTGTCTAAATCCCATTCTGCTGATTGATAATGGCTGAAAGATACAAAGACATCTAACAATCAGGGGCATTTGTGGACATGAGTGTGTTCAAGATAGGTTCCAGAGGGAAGAGCCTGGAGAATGTTGCAACACATGGGAAAGGAGTAAGGAGAGAAAGGGAAGGGAATGCACTTCTATAATCAGACTACAGCTTGGAAAGGTCCCGATCTCATAGACAACCCAATTACTAAGCAGCAGGGCCTGTGGGCAGTAGGACACCACATTTCCCCAAAGTCAGAGTGTGGGTCTGCCACTGGGTCAGAGTCTGGGTGGGTAGAGGTAGGCCTGGGGGTTGTGGAGAGGGAACAGGAGAAGGAGGAACAGCTGCCATTTTGAAAAACTCAATAGATTGTCTATATCTGGGGCCAAGCAGAGGGCATGGCAACTAAGAATTTAGCCATAGCCTGGACTCACAGGAAGCTGAACTGGACAAATGGGCCTTGACTGACGTGACAGGGATTTGGAATCTCAGAATCCCATGACCACAATTCTGCTAACAATGCCTCAGCTAGTCTCCTCCTCCTCCCCAAGGCCAAGTGCTCTGACCTCTCCTCTCTTATATCAGTCTATGCCATCCAAACAAGGAACTATAGCTCCCCTCCCCGCTCTATCCATGGGAAAACACATGGAGGCATGTCTTACTGTTGTCCAAATGGTTGGCCTTAATGATCTTCTCTGAGTAGTCAGAAATACTGGAACATTCAATCTAGAAAGGGTACAGAACAAAGGAGCAAAACATCAAAAATATGACCAACACCAATTTAATGAATGGAGAAGCTGAAGGCCACAGGGGTGCAATGACTTGCCCACAGCTGTCACTGTTTATTTCTGGCAAATTAGAAACTACAATGCAGCCCTCTCAACTTGCAGGCCAGCAGCTCCTCCACTAATTGGGCTGCCTTTCCTTGAGGCTGGAACCCGTCCTATGCTTTGCGGTGAAGGGTCCCATGTCTGAGGTGGGAGCCACTGTCCTCCCAAGAGAGGATGTAAGACCAACCAGAGGTGCTGTGAGCCTCCCTCAACATCACCTTCCCATCCTCCAGCCCTCACTGGTTAAACTGGAAGCATTCTAGGACAAGGGCCTTCTGAAAAATGCCAACTAAGGGCCAGTCTTAAGATCCTTAAACACACACACACACACACACACACACACACACACACACACACACACACACACACATTAACTGTCACCTCTTCTGCAGTCTCCACCTTTGAAAGAATTGATTCTTTTGAATCTAAAAGTTTTTCCATGCTCCTAAGATCTCCTGAGCAGAGGGCTGAGGTATTTGAGGGATTAATCAACCATCAGCTGAGAAAAGGACCTTGTGGGAGTAGCAGAAGATCAAACCCCTGCTGGGGGGTAGAGGTCCTAGGCATGCCAGGGAGGGCCAGCAGGTGCTGGAAACAGAGTGGCAGCCTCCAAGAGCTGTTCTCACCTCTTTAGCTGGCCTACAGAGACCAGCCTGCATTCAGGCCCTGGGGCCCCCCTCACCTCCACATTCAGGCCCAACTTCAGACTGCCCCCAGGGCCTTGGACATTTAGCACAGGGGCACTGAGCCGGTTGCTGGCAGCTTCCATCAAAGCCATCGGGAACGTGGGGGCACCTACAGGGTCAGGAAAGCATTGCTCTGGTAGAGGAGGCAGGCACTAGCCAGGACTCAGACCCCAGAGGACCCACGGTTTCCTGAGCTACCAGGTCCTGTGGCAACAGTTCTGTTGTTGGCAAGACTGCATTTCTCTCCTCTTCTTTCTCCTGCCTTGCCATATTTTCATTCCGTTTGCAAGAGGGTACTGAGTTTAGTCATAAAGAAGATGGGATCTGGAGCCAGACAGCTTGGACTCACATCTGGCCACTGCCACTTTCCAACCGTGCTTTGGTTTCCTCATAATGAACTCACAGCCCCTGTTTCGCACGGCCAGTGTGAGGCTGCAGTGAGTGCTGACGGGCCCTCCGAAAGCCACAGGGTGTGTGAGGCTGCATTCCTGCTCGCTTTGCTCTCTTTCTTTCTTTGACCTCCACCTTTCCCTTCTCCCATCTTTTTTCTTTACTCTCTCTTTTTTTCCCATTTTTCTTTTGTACTTCTAGTTTGCTTTCTTTCTCCTTTTTGTTGATCTCCCTCCCATTCCTCTAGCTTTCCTCTGAGTCTTTTCATCCTTCTGTCTATTGTCTCCATTTGCTGTTTCTGTCAATTTCCTCAGTCCGTCTGTCTGTCTCTTTACTGCCAACCAGAATCCCCTACTGGAGAAGAGCTGTGGGTGGAAGGGAGAGCCTGGAACAGGAGAAACTGTGAAATGAGCCATCCAGATAGAAGCCCAGCTAACTGTGGCAGAGCTGTTTGTAAAAGAGCTATTATAGCAAAAAAGAGGGAGGCAGACAGATGGGACGAGTCACCACCACTGGAAGGGACGGTGCAAGAGCCTCCTGACAGCTCCTTGGCTGCAGCCCCCGCCAATGTGGAAGCCAGTGACAGGTGGCCCTGCCTCTCCCTGCTCAGCCCTTGGCTCCCAAGTGCCCGGCAGAGACGGGAGCTGAGACGAGCTTTAAAGACAGCACTGGGAAGGGAGGCCCTTGGGGGTCAACACATAGTCTCACAGCTCAGAGGCTGTGTGAACTCATTGGAGGTGGAGTCTCATTGGACAGGAGGCCCCAGTTTGATGAGGAGGGACTTGTAAAGGAAAACTGAAAGGAGGATGGGGCAGTACCTGTGATGATGGCAGAACTTGACCTTGGGCTTCAGATTGGCTGTGTACCCTAATGTCGAGCCTCAGCTGACATTACATCTTTTCTGGGCATCACAGCTTTTCTGGGCAAGGCAATAGCAGAAGTGCCTTGGGGACAGCCCAGGTTTCCAGAAGATCTCTACAGCCAAGACCCAAATGCTTTGCGGGTCAGATGTGGGGAGCAGTTCTGTCCCTGCTGAAGACTTTGGGGCAGACCTCTGAGTTGGGGACTTGGAGGGCTCCAGTCAACCTGGGAGCCGGGGGCTCTCAGGACAGTGTCTCTTGACCCAGCTAAATGCACAGAGAATAAAGCCCCACCAAAAGCTGTCCGGCTCCCTGTGAGCCTCTGCAAGTGGGCTGTCTTGTGCATATGCTGTGAGTCTGATTGTAGTGTAACTTTAATTTTGATCAAGATTAATTCCCATTTCCCAGGCCTAGACTCACTGCACTTTTTAAATGTCAGGCAGCAGCTTGGAGCTCTCCTTTTCACAATTTCTTCCAAGCTCCAGACTCTCCCAGCATCCAGTCCTCAGGCTGTGAACAGCTACATTGTGGGAGCCAGAGGAAGGCTGCGAGGTTTCCCTGGGGGTCAGCCTCCACCTCTAGCCAGGGAGGTTGCAGCAGCCAGAGTAGCAGAATTTAGATTTATGAAGTTCCCTTTCAAGGACAAAGAGGGTTTTCTTGTTGTCATGTCCTAAGGCCCTTATCCCAACTATACTCGTAAACACTGAGCATCTGTCATATTCCAGGCACTGTTCTAAGAATGTTACATATGTATTAAACTTTTTACTCCTCACAATGACCCCATGAGCAAGCTACTGTTATCATGCCCATTTTATAGATGGGGAAAATGAGGTCCAGAGGAGTGAATTACCCACGGTCCCACATCTCGTGAGTTGGAAAAACAGATTCAAGCCAGAGCTCACATGTGGAACAATGGGGCACTGCCCCCAAGCACTGTAAGGTAATGATGATCCTGAAAGTATTTCTGAAAAGTTAAAAATCTTCTGCAAATGTCAGCAGTTGCCAGGGCAAGCAACCAGGAGCAATGCCCAAGTGACAGGGAGCCATGGGAGACTGTCCTACCTCCTGAGAGTTACACTTGATTTTCTCCTTGAGGGTGTGATCTCAGCAAAGAGACGGACCAGCATTTGTAACATTTCTAGGAAGGGCCAGAGAAGGCAGAGGGCAGGGCCAGCTCGGCAGAGGCCAGCATGAGGGAGGGAGCGGCATGCTCACCCCAAACACCTTCTTGGCTCCTGCTTTGGCAGCAAACATGGAAAGGATCCCGGTACCACTCCCAACATCCAGCACCACTTTGTCTTTGAACACGTGCTTGTTGTGGTACATGGAGTTCCGGTAAGTGAGTGTCCGCACCTCATCCTTCAGCATCTCCTGTGTGACAGGAAAGGAAAGTCAGTGTCAATGCACTCAAAGCTCCTGGGAGTACACTGGGGCAGGGGCCCCAGGACTGTCCCGCCCAATTCTTCGTGGATGTTGATGATGCTACCAGGCAAGCCACAGAGGTGTACTGTGGGGCAGCTAGGCCAGAGGCCACCTGCAGCATTAGAAACAACTCCAGCCCCAAGCAAATAGCTTTGGACTATCAAAGGAGAAACTAATGCCCTGACCTGGGAAAGCTCCAATTTACCAAAAAACAAAATAAAGTGTCAGTCAGGTACAACATGAGAGATTCAAGTTAGATCTGAAACAAAACTTTCTGCCATGGTGAGAGTGCTGTCACTGAACAAGTTATTAAAGGAGGTCTTCTGTGTGTATACTATTTTTGTTTGTTTTTAAGAATAGAAAACAAGTTCCTTTATCTATCATTATTTAAGTGCTTTGTGGTAAGAAAGAAACTAGATTACCCATTACAACTGCCTCTAGCACAAGGAGAACACAATTAATCTGCATGTGGTGATGAGGCAGGGTCTTCGTCCATTCAAGATATCAGCAAACATTCTAAGTCATCACCAATAGTATTGACATTTTTTGGTGTCATTTTACTATAACTTTTAGTATAACTTGCACACAATAAAAAGCACAGATTTTAAATGTATGGCAACGTGTAAGAATTTTGACAAATGTACATCTGTGTAACTACACCATAATCAAGGTACAGAACATTTGCATCACCCCAGAAAATCTTTCATGCCTGTTTGCAGTTAATCCTCACCTCCACTCCAGACAACAAATGATCTAATTTCTATCACCAAAGCTTCCTTCTGCCAGATTTAGAACTTCACATAAATTGAATCTTATTACAATATGTACATGTTTGTGTCTGGTTCCTTTTGCTCAAAGTTTTTGAGATTCATTCATTTTCTTGCATGTCTCCAAGGCTTGTTCCTTTTTTCCTGCTGATGCTATTGCTCTTATCCTTCTTGTTAACTAATATTCCACTTTGTGACCATACCACCGTGTATCTATCCATTCACTTGTTGATGGGTATTTGGATTGTCATGAATAAAGATGTTACCAACATTCTCGTATAAGCAATTTTGAGGATGTATGTTTTTATTTCCTTTGAGTAAATACATAGAAGCGGGTATTGAGGGGTCTTAGGGTAGGTGTTTAATTTTATTAGAAATTGCCTAACAGGTTTTTAGAATAGTTGCATCATTTTATGATCCCACCAGTAATGTGTGAGCATTCAAGTTGCTTACATGCTGGCCAGTTAATCTTATCAGCCTTTTTAATTTTAGTTATTATTTTGCAGTGATTTTCAAACTTTTTCATCTCATGGCACATATAAACTAATTACCAAAATTCTGTGGCACACCAAAAACTATATTTTTTGCTGATTTGACAAAAAATATGTATAATTTGATTCATTTACACTGAATGGCTATTGTTGTGTTGGCTGTTGTCATATTTTTCTTTGACAATCTAAGGGAAAAGAGGTCAGTGTCTCTGACTAAAGAGTCAGGTATCACATGTTTTAAAAGTTCTTGTGGCACATGGGTTGAAAATAGCTATTATAATGGCGACTGGTATCCCATTGTAGTTTTAATTGCATTTCCATGGTGGCTATTGACAGAGATAATTTCTTCATGTGTTTATTGACTTTTCGTGTATATCTTCTTTTGCAAAGCGTCTGTTCATCCAATTTCTTCTTGAGCTATTTGCCTTTTCTTTATTGAATTATATCAGTTTATATTATTCTGGAAACAAATCCTTTGTCAGATATACACATTGTAAATATCTTCTCCTAATCTGTGATTTTCATAGTGTTGTCTTCTGAAAAGCAGTTTTTAATCTTGATAAAGACCAATATTTTATTTTTTTTTCTTTTATGATTCAATTTTTTGTTCCCTGCCTAATCTTTGTCTACCCCCAGGTCACAAAAATATTCTCCTATATTTTCTTCCAGAAGTTTTATAATTATAGCTTTTACTCTTAGTTCTATGATTCATGTCAAATTATGGCATATGGTGTAAGTTAACAAATGCATTTGTATTTGTATGGTATACAAATTTTGTGTATGGTGTAAGTTAAGAATGTGAGTTCATTTTTTTTCATACAAATAAGTGGCTCAAGCACCAGGGTTCATTTCCCCACTGAGTCACAGGGGGCAGATCCTTTGGAACAATACTTCCTTTGTTTCAGTTGTGTTGCCACCTTTGTCAAAAGTCAGTTTACTGTACATGTGTGTCCGCTCTGATCTGCTCCATTAATATGCCAGGTCAACACTCACTTGACTACCATAGTTTTATATTAACTTTGAAATAAAGTAGTGTGAGTCCTCCAACTTAGTTCTTCTTTTACATGATTATTTTGTTTTTTCCAGATCCTCAGCATTTTCATATACATACATTTTAGAAGCAGTTTGCTAATTCACACAGAATAGCCTGCTAGAGTTGGTTGGAATAGCATTAACTCTATAGATCAATTTGGGGAGAACAGATTATCTTCACAATATTAAGTCTTACAATCCAAGAACACTGATACAGCTCTACATTTGTTTAGTTCATGTTTAATTTCTCTCTACAATATTTTATAGATTACAGTGTAGAGGTCTTGTATTTTTTATAATATTACATAGCATATTATTTTTAAAAAATACTACTGAAATGTACAGCAGTATGGATCTCACAGAATACTGAATGAAAGATATAAGGGAGTACATTCCATTTATGTAATTCCATGTATAAGAAATTAAATCTCAGGCTAAACTAATCTGTAGTGATAGAGGTCCAAATGGCAGTTACCTTAGGAGAGGTGCACTAACTGGGAAAGTGCACCGGAGGAACACTCTGAGGTCCTGGGAATGATCAGGGTAATGATTACACAGGTATGTATGTATGCAAAGTTCAAGATATACACTTACGATTTGTGAACTTTTATTTGTAAGTCTAACAGTTGTTTGAACAAATAACCTATTTGAGGAGGTCTTGTATTTTTCAATTAAACTTATTCATAACTATTTTATTTTATGCTACTGTGTATGATATTTTTACATTTTTATTCTCCAGTTGTTAGTATATATATTGACCTTCTATTTTTGCAGCCTTGCTTGCATCACATATTAATTCTAGTGGGACTTTTCTTGCATGTTCCTTTGTTTTCCATGTAGAAACATTTTCATCACTTTTGAATATAGACTACTTGACTTCATTTTTCCTATCTGTATGTCTTTTATTTCTTGTTCTTTCCTCTTGCTATACTGTACTGATGAGGATGGCCATTCAGTAACATATTAGAATTGGAGAAGACAGGCATCCTTCCTTCGTTCCAGTGATCTATAAATGTCACCATTGAATATAATTTTAGGTGGGGGCTCTCTATAAATCTTTTATCAGACTAAAAAGTTATCCTCTATTTCTAATTTTCTGAGAGCTTTTCTAAATCATGAATTGGTGCTGAATTTTGTCACATACTTCTATTGCATTTGTTGAGATGATTATGACTTCTCTCCTTTATTCTGTTAATGTGTTGAGCTCCAAAGATTGATTTCAAATGTTGAAACAACACTTTGTCAGGATGCATTATTTTCTTAAATACTGCTGGGTTTTGTTTACTAATACTTTGTTGCAGATTTTTGTATCTGTATTTGTAAGAAAGTAGATCAGTAACTTTCTCTTATCTTCTCTGGTAATTAGTTATGCTGAGTTAATCACAGAAGTTAGGAAGTTATCTCTTCATGCATTTTCTGAAAAAGTTTAGGTGAGATTGACATTTTTCTTCCCTAAATGTCTGATATAATTCACCATTAAAATCATCTGGGCCTCCTTTTTGTGGAAAGATTTTAAATTATTAATTCAATTTATTTAAGAGATAGAAGGCTATTTCCATTTTCTATGCATTCTTACATCAGTTTTGACAAGGTATTTTTCTAAGGAATCTATCCATTTCAGCTCAGATGTCAAATTTATGGGTATAATATTGTCATAATAGTCTCTGTTGAGTGTCCATATGATCTGTAGTAATGCTACCTTCATTTAGTTATAATCTGTTTCTTTTGATGTTTTTCTTGATCAGTCTAGCTAGATGTTATCAATTTAATTAGCATTTTCAAAAAACAACTTTTGGCTTTGTTGGTTTTCTTCAGTGTTTTATTTATACTTTGTTGATTCCTGTTCTCATCTTTGTTATTTCTTTGCTTTGACTTACATGGATTTTATTTGCTCTTCTTCCTCTACTTTATAAAATGAAAGCTTTGATCATTGATTTTATACTTTTGGTTTTTTCTAATAAAAGTATTTAAGCTATAAATCTTCCTCTAAGATTTCTTTAACTCCATCCCACAAGTTTTCATATGTTGTGTGTCTTAGCTCAGGCTGCTATAACAGAATACCACAGACAGGGTGACTTAAAAAACAAACATTTATTTCTCACAGTTCTGGAGGCTCAGAAGTCCAAGATCAAGGTGCCATCAGATCCACTATCTGGTGAGGGCCTGTTTTCTGGTTTGCAGATGGTTGTCTTCTCCTTGTATCCTCACATGCCAGAGAGCAAAGCAAGGGAGCAAGCCCTGTGTCTCTTCCCAAAAGGCACTAGTCCCATTCACGAGGGCTAACCCTCATGCCCTAGTTACCTCCCAAAAGCCACACCTCCTAATATCATCACATTGTGGGGTAGGATTTAAACATATGAACCTTAGGGGGCACCACATTTGGTTCACAGCATTGTGTTTTCACTATCATTCCATTTTGAATATTTCCTAACTTCTTGTGATTTCTTCCTGACCCTGTTCTCAATGCTGCTTAATTTCCAAAAATTTTGAGATTTTCTAGATAAATTATTGCTTTTGGTTCCTAACTTAATTCTATTATGATAAAAAACATACTCTGCATGATTTCAATCTTTTGAACTTCATTGAGATTTTTTATGGCCCAACATGTGATTTATACTACTGAATTTTTCAGTGTGCACTCAACAACAATGTGAAGTCT